CCCCAAAACCCCAAAACCCCAAAACCCCATAAAGGGAGCTAAAGACTGAAGGTAATAATTAATAATACGTCAGCAGTGATGGATATGAACGCATGTGACAAAGATATTCCTTATTTTGTATTTGGAGGATATGGTAAGATATTAGAGGACCACTAAGGGTCTTGATTACGATGAGAGTTCTTCTTTAGAGGATTTAAAAGGATTAAAATTGTGAGCATTTTATTTAGACTATGACAAAATTAAACATAAAAATAATAGACCTCATTATCAAAGAACCTCTCTTGTTGCTTCTAAATTCTATTTAACTGTAATAGGCACCTAGCTCATAAGAATGCTAAATTTCGTTCATATGGCCTTGACTTGGGCTCTTTTTAGTATAGTACCGTTTCAGACACGCTAATAATTTGTTCTTGAACTCTATACATAAATTGAGAAAATCTAAAGTTCGTTTCTGATATCCCAATAGAGCTGTTTTAGTATGCTTCTTATGCCCTCTAAAGATACTTTACTATATGATATAATAGAGCTAACTCAAACCCTCCAGGCGGAGTAAATTTATTGAAAGATGTGTCTAACTTTCTGTTCCATAACTGAAATTTCCTTTAGCAGAAATGTTTTCAATCTTAGCGAAGGATCAAAGCTACACTAAAGAGATCATTTTAAGCCAGATGGACCCATCTATTGCTAGTCAGTATTGCTCATGAGAAGCACAAGCTTCTAAGAAGGATATACCTATTCTTCCATCTCTGAATGAAATCAATTTTCTCGATCAGAATAGAACTGACAAATTCCAGCTCTTCAATTCTGGTAACACTAGAAAAATTATCAAAGACATGGATAAGGTAAGATCCAGATTTTTAGGTTAGCCTCAATTATAAAATTTGGCCTTTGTAAATTAGGTTTTTATGCTCATTCTAGAACTCAGTTAAATTCTTTTGTAGTACAGCAAATCTAACTCAGTTATAGACCTTCGATATGGATAAGTCAGAGAATTTGATAGCCAAAGCCTTAGAGAACCACACAGACTCCCAAAAAGAGGGAATCAAGACTGGTAATAATTTTATTACTTATTATGAAGTTATGATCAACTTACTCTCTTTGTTAACTCATAAATACTTAGATAATGAAGGCAATCCAATGTACTTAATCAGAAAGCTGAAGAGAGTAATCAAGAAGACGCAGGCTCAGTATCATTATGACTGCATGATGGAGAGTTGCAAGAGAACATTCAATAGTTTTTCTGATTTGAAAACTCACATCGTCCTTCATGATAAGTTTAGGCCATTTAAATGCCCATACTGCCCTAAATGCTATACCCAAAAAGGAAACATGATTAAGCATAAGAGAAGCCATTTCAATCCAAGCCTAAACAGCAGAAGAAGATTCACCTGCGAGTTCTGCCACAAAAGATACACTGAGAAGTATAACCTCAAGGTAAGATTTCCAATGAAACAGCTTTTATATTATAGACTCATCAACAGAAGTTCCACCCGATGGAGTATCAGCAGAGATATGGCTTCAGAGGCTTCTTTGCCTAATAATTTCTTCATAAATATTGGACCAAAATATACTGAATTTTAGCACATCCTCATCAATTTAAAAACGAACGTTCGCTTTAAACCGTGTTTTTCAAAAGGCATTTAACTCGAGTAGGGGTTATTTATACTCTGTTTTTAAGAGCCTGAAAGGTTCATGATGAGATATAAAGGCGAGATAGCCCCTTGGATACTGGAAGAACCTCTTTACTTCAGCCTTCAACCGTCTGTGGTGATTATAGAATCTTAAAATGATAATTAAATTCTTATTAAAAATTCCTGAAAAGACAGTTTTGAGATTCTTTTGATAGATAACATGATTATAAAAAGCTGAGTTATTGAACCAAAGAGGAAGCTCATCGTGTGCTAGATTAGTGATTCGTCATTTTAATTATAACCAGAAAGATCTGCCAAGTTAAAGTACAATATTTATTATCTTGTAGTTTAATTCAGATCGATCAGAACATCGTATGTTCTTTCCGACTAACTTATTAGGATTATTATTTCAGGGTTGGATGATCATCGGAGCTAAAAACTCATGAAAAATATGTGGCAATATGCTCTAAAGCTTATCACGATGTGTGCAAAAGCATATAGGCTTAATCAATTTTCCTACCCTATCGTTTCAAAGGCAGTAGAACGTTTGCAGAAGTCTTTTCAGAAGTAGCTAATTTTGCTTAAAAACAGCTTGATTCAAGCTAAAATTTCCGCTCAATTTTTCAAACTTATCTAACGATTAGTGTCTATTTGAATTGCAAAAGGAAGCTGGTACAGCTGATCATTTTCTCTGTACCACCAGAGATTTCTTAAAGTTTTATGAGAGGTAATTTGATGCTTAATAACATTCCGGAAAAATTGTTAAACATACCATTTACATAAATTTACTACTAAGATATTTGGTATGAATTGAGAAGATCTCCAACAAAGGACTCAAGAGTAATTTCGAATCCAGTACCTGCTTCATAATTAGTTATTGAGCTAATGAAGACTTTATGATAAAACAGAGAGGTATAGTAATCAAGATGGACATTGCAATTTCCGATTAAATTTGAAACAGCTTTTCCTTACGAGTTATGAATTTTTGAGGCAGTGATTGGATAGCGATGAGTTAAGTCTGGGATAAGCTTTTAGAGAAATATAATGCTCAACATGAAGATTTTTCAGTTATTATAAAGCTATTGAGGTAAGCAAGATTGTTTCTCAGCTAAACAGGGCTCATTAGTCATTGAAAATTTGGATATTTTTATCCCTATAATTAAGAAAATCGTAATCTGGAAATATCACTTTGTGTCACTATCCAGTCATCCTTTTGAGATGACTTCAGAAGAGGAGCACAACAAATATTATTTCTTAAATTAAGATATAAATGAAGCATAAATTATTTAGCAAAATTATTATGACTCTCACTATTGTTATTTCTTTAAAAAATTTGGTTCGAGATTTCCTGAATGAAGACCCCTACAATAGATTTATACTTTTCTGATGGGAAAGAACGGTTAATTTACCATCTCTTCGAATGAAGGGTCGGAAAGAACGTTCGCTTACGTCATTTTCTAGAAAAATTACTTAATTTTGAATGGTAAATTCTTAAAGTTTCAAATAACATCCAATTTGTTGTGAACGTCCTGGCGATTCCAAAGTGTCAATCAGCAAATTTACTTGTAGAAAACTATTAAAATTTTAAGTCGATACAGAAAAGGTATTATAAGAACGGATTTAGAGTAAAAAATGAGCCCTCACACATAGTGAAGAGCAACTTTGGATGGTAAGAACACCAAAAACTTGAGATCCCAAAAGCAAAGAAAAATGAATCTCAAATAATTAATATCCAAAATATGATAAAATACTCTCATACCTCACCAAAATCCTCATCCAAAACCCTCCAAACCCTTAAATCCTCCATTTTCTTCACTTGACTCCCTCTTCTCCCATTCCTTCCCCAAAATTCCCCAGCCAAGGCCAAGATTCTTCCTTAAAAATCCTGAACAAGAAGGACATTAACCAAACTTCTAAGAGCTCACCAGTGAAGCAAACTTGGCCTCAGTGGGCAACAGAAGGAAGTTAGCTTAAGAAGGACTTTAGTGGGTGAACTAATGGGGAAAGAGGAGACAGGAGTTTTAGGTGAAGAAGAGTTTGATGGGATTTTAGAAACTCGTTACCGAAATTTAGGAATTTGGTTTTAGTTGGCTGAGATTATGATGTGGTTGTGTTAGGGTATTGGGAATAGAGGTGGGTTTTATAGACTGAGGATTATTTATTGCTTCTTAGGAAGTTTATTTAATTGAATCAGTATATAGCTCTTTATGGAAATGGCAATTATAACCTTCCTTCATTTCTGATGAATGAAAGTATTAGAAGAGAGATGATTTTCCATGAATGCTCTTAAAGATAAGAAATTTGATTTTAGAGCTTAAGTTATTCCACATGGACAGTTTAGACAAAAATTAGGTTTAGTATTTTAGCTCAAATAGATTTAAGGAAAATTATGCTAGATGGAGCTCTTCTCTCAATCTTTTGGCTCTTCATTAAGAAAGAGTGTAGAGATTTTAATTTCTATTGCTTTTGTGAAGATCCATTATATTTAAAACAACATTCATGGTCTTATTGTAAAATTAGAGAAGCTTTGAAACTTTTAGTTCTATTACTTACAAAAATGGCAAGAATGTAGATGGGAACTTCATCTCTATTAATGAGCAATTGCACTAATAACTAAAATTTATTTATAGTCATATATAATACTAACTGAAGGTTTAGATAAAAAAATAAGCAAGTCAGAAGCCATAAAGTGCCATTTTTTATAATAATATTTGATATATTCTTATTTCAATTGAGTTTATTCCCTCTGGGGTTTTGGGGTTTTGGGGTTTTGGGGAGAT